CCGCTGGGCCGTGCAGCAAGGCCTCAGGACCGAGCCCCAGCTCCCTTTGGAACCCGTGCGGGTCCATCAGTCGCCGGGGGCGGACATTTTGAATAGGCCCTGCCTCCCTGTATTTCTTCTGTTAAGATTCAAAATAGAAGAAGAAGTTAAAAAATGCATGATAAAATGGGGTAAGAATTTTGATTATATAGCGCTGGCTCAATGGGAAAGAATGGCTAAGAGGGCTGAGATTTACATTATGTTGTGATCTCAAAGAGAATTTCTATAAAATGAAATACTGTTTATATCGTTGGTACACGACGCCAGAAAAATTATCTGGAATGTTTGAAAGCACTTCAGGTGTATCTTGGAAATGTGAATAACATGAACGGACATTTTATCATGCTTGGTGGACATGTAAAAAAGCTAAAAAAAAAATTGGATTCAAATACATACACTGACACAGAGGATTTTAAAGATTCAATTGATATATTAGTTATATTATATATAATAGTATATAATTATATAATATAGATTATTAATATTAATATAGATATTATATCATCTATATTATATTATCTATATTAATATAGATATTATATAATATAGATATTATAAATATAATATAGATTATATTTAATATAGATTATATTATATAGATTATATGTACTGTATGTATGTATGTATATGTGTGTGTGTGTGTGTGTGTGTGTATAATAATATTTAGTTGAAGCCAGAACTTTTGGGATTGATGGATAAACAGATTATGGAAGATTATTTAAATATATGATAACTGCAGCAAGATTACTTTATGCACAAAGATGGAAAGATTCGGCATTTACCCACCATGGAGGAGCAGTTGGTGAAACTGACAGATCTTGCTGAGATGGACAAACTGGCTTCTTTGATTAGAGAAAGGACAATATCTACATTTATTGGGGACTGAAAATCACTTATGGACTTTTTGCATAAAAATGAAAAAAATGAACTTGTGGTTTATGGTTTTAATGATTAAACAGGATAGGTTATAGAAAGAAGAGAGTTATGAGAGTATCTTTAGAGAGAGAGGCTAAAATATAATTGTAGTTATAACTGCTGTGAAGAATATTGGAAGCCATTTCTTTATATCTTTCTCTTTTTTCTACTTTCTTCTCTTTTTTTCCTATTGCACTTTTAGCTTTTTCTTTTATTTCTCTCCTTTTCATTTTCTCTGTTCTACTTTAGCCTGTATTATTTCTCATTATTGCTGCTAAAACTTTCACTACAATTATATATATACAAAAAGGAACGGCTAACTTTTCTCATGCGGGAGGCTGGCAGTCACAGCCACTTGGCGAAAGAGGCCAAACCCATCTTGCTCTTGTGAGATGCACCGAAAACACGTGATGCTATGGCGAGTCAGGGCTCCTTCCTCCCTGAGGTGGGGGTGCAGGGGGGGTCTCTGAGGCAAAGCTGATGCCGCTGGCCTCCCCCTGGGAAGGGATAGCGAGGGTCAGGCAATAGCGCTCTGTTACCCCAAATGGATAGTGTTCAGCAGAAGCCAAGGAAATGGTTTCAGGCCTTCAACAGCAAATGTGAAGGTAAGCCCAGATGTGGGTCTGGCACAGAGGGAAGGATTCAGCAAATGCTTAGGGATGGCCAGAAGAGCACACGCTGCGGATTCTGGTCCATTCTATACATGCACACTCTACTTTTGCACTGAACTGCACTTTTGCTCATCTTTCAGAGGACCTAGAGGTGGTGCTGCTGCCCAAACATCTTGCTTGCCAATGATATATA